AAAACATTTTTAGAACTCGCATGCTGAATGTGATCATAAATAAAGAAATATATATTCGCTTTGATAGATAATTTATTGATAAATCTCTTAAAGTTGATTTGAAACACGAAGCTGTTTGGAAGCAAATCAATCTAAAAAGTGATTGTAGACTTTAAAACGTAACAGTGACAGTGATGTTCATGATTTGTAGTCGATTGGCTGAAACATGCAAAAGCACCAGCGTAGTTCTTCACCTACTGTCAGAGATTTAAATCCCATGCTGATAGAAAAGAGCCATTTATCCACCCACAGTAAAATCACTGTGAAAAAGTCACTGTGGCTGGTGATTGGTGGTAATTATTCACCCTGAATGTGAAGAGGAAAGAAAAGCAAAAAGGGAAGTTGAGAGAGAATGAGAGAGCAACAAAGAAAAGGCACAGTTTGATTCGTTGTAAATGTACAGCGGGACTCATTCCGTAGAGGCAGTTTAAGTTTGCACACATTCTAAATAATGACACACAACACGGACAACAACATATGCGCACGATGCACCACAGGCTGCACACACTTGGGGTTGCAATGCATTTTATAATACAAATCTCCATTTCTTTCCAGGCGCTCTTTTAGTCACCCCATGTGTGGCCCTTTGCTGAAGCCGTGTGCATAGCAGGGGGGGAAATGCAGCGAGACTAGATGGAGAGAGAGAAAAATAAGAAAGAGAAACACAAACACATCTGTGTGGATGAGATAAACAAAACTTCAATTAAACTCTCACACTGAGAAGGTGAGAGAGCGCGTATCTCTTCTTAAGCGGCACAATTCTCTTAATTTGTTATTTGATAATACGTCTTTAGCGCATATCTTACATTTAAATACACAAAGTCTTCAATCAGGCTGATTATGATAGAGGCCTGATGTTACTGAGGGAATCAGAACAGGCAGTTGTCTCTGTGTCGTCGCTCCTGCGCGTCACAGTAAAGTAGCATAAAGTTGAACATTTCCACGGTTCCTCCAGGTTCCTCCAGCACCATGATGCTATTTTGAGAATCCTTCCCACAGTGAATGGCAGTCGCACATCGACCGTTTGAGTCGATGTGTGTGGACCGGTGGCAGACCGTCGCAGTCATCAGCTTCCCTCGTTCAAAGGATGAGACTTCAATGAGCTGCCTGGACGTGAAAACGATGGACGTGGCAGTAACTCTCCAATCAGAGCCAAGTATCTAAATGACCTGCTTTCCACAGAACACAAGCTTTCATGTTTTGTAAGCATTTCAAGTCGGCCACTCTTTTTGGTCACTTTCAAAGATCTTACCGCCCAAATATCTTACCGATTGGATCCGATTTCAGGCTGTTGAAGATGTTCAAGTCTGTGAAAGTCTCTACTCGAGGTTTGTGAAAAGACAAAGCTGGTTTTTTCTTCTCTAAATAGTCTCAAAGTGGTAAATTTCACCCTAAAAATCTAATATTTTTTCTCATCATATGGTCTAATTTAATAACAAATTGTATCGAAGTTTTCCTGCTAAATCGAAAGATAAATAACAACAACAGAGACTCAGGTGCATGGCAGAAATTCAGCAATGCCAAAAAGCTCCGAATGCAAAGCATCAAGGGAAATAAAACTGAAATGAAATATGTCAAAAAGGACAAAACTAAGTTGGAAGTAAAGCGTTTGTGGTGGTGAGAGGAATGCGTGTTTGTATGATGTTTTCCCCTGGTTAGAGGATAAAGAGACGCATGCAGAGAGGGGGAGAGGAGATATGGACGGTGTTACCTGAGGAGCAGCAGGGAATCAGGAGATTTACCATCGTGCTGCTCGCCAACAACTTCTGGCGATAACACCTTTTGGTTAACTTCTGGCGTCTTCCTTTAATTGAGTGAGATTTTCATCAGCATTTCTTGAATGGTGCTGATTAAATTAATTACACTCTCCTCGGGGGAATATCCCCTCGTCCTGCTGCGCTTTACACCCTAATGAAACCACTTTCTAATGAATTGCCCTCACTTCCCTTCCTCTACCTTTATTTTTATACCTTTGACTTGAGGAGCATGCGGAATATTCGACACTCTCCAAATGAAATACTTGCAGAGATCCAAAGAGAACCAATAAGAATGTGAAAGGTTATTACAAGGCTTTGTAGAGCTTGAGAACAATTCAGTTTACTGCACATTTGTGGAGGAACTGCCAGGGTTCACAAACCCTCTGGAGCTCCTCAAGGAACCTTCATGGGCTCTCCTAAGATTGTGTTTTGAAGAAGCCCTTGAAGTTCACAGCTATTTGCGATGTCGTGCTCAATGGGGTTCATAAAAAGCTGTGATATTATAATATACTCTTTGCAGATATTGTTCTGACTTTACAAACAAACACCAACTCATTGCCAATCAAACGTCTGCCTTCTGTTTCCCAAAGATCTCTTTATTTCTTTTTATTTTGAAGCTTGTGCTCATTCAAATGTACCTGAAGATTAAGAAAGAGGAACTGAAGTGGGTACTAAGTGGTCCATACTGGATGTAACCACTTTACATCTGATACTAATACATACAATTGTGAGGAGGTCAGGTATCAGCAATGAAATCAAATCAAATGTACAGCTTATACAAATGATAAGCTTCAAGGACGGGATTGATTTTTTGGGGGGTTTTAAGTGCTCTGAAAAGGTAACAGGGAATAATTTTGATCCACAACCAGAAGCATTACTCAGCAGCTTCCTCTAACAACCCTTACATGAACAGGAAGGACATTTGACAGCACAGCCAGAAGTGTCTAACACCGAGGAAGCTTCAACACAACAATTTAGATTTCATAAAAAGGCCACAAGTCACCTAACTGGTTTTTGGATCCATGCAAACAACCCCTGAAGATAAGACAAGACCAAGACCAAGACAAGACCAAGACCAAGACAAGACCAAGACAWGACCAAGACCAAGACCAAGACCAWGACCAAGACAWGACCAAGACCAAGACAAGACCAAGACAWGACCAAGACCAAGACAWGACCAAGACAAGACCAAGACAWGACCAAGACAWGACCAAGACCAAGACAWGACCAAGACAAGACCAAGACCAAGACAAGACCAAGACAAGACCAAGACATGACCAAGACCAAGACAAGACCAAGACAAGACCAAGAYCAAGACAAGACCAAGACCAAGACAAGACCAAGACCAAGATAAGACCAAGACAGTAAAATAACAATTATTAAGCGTAAAATAAATAATACTGACACTATTGCATAATAGCAATAAGAGTAAGGTAAATTAATTAAATAAAAATACAAAGTGTATAAGAAGTGAAACTACCACCAGTGCTGATGACTAATGTTAAATAAAGTGTCTTTGAAGAACATTTTTAGGAAGGATTGATGGATTTATGAGGTGCTTCCACAAACCTCCGACATCCCAGGGTTCCTCCAGAAAGGAACACATTGTTCAGATGTTAGAAGAACCTCTGAGGGACCTTTACACTTTATTTAGATCATAATGGGAACAACAGCATCATGTGAAAACAACATCTCTTATAGATATTCTAACGCACATGAACTCTGTGTGGAGGTGATCCATGAGGAGACTTTTTGTTGTTCCTTAATGTGCGTTTCATTCGTGGAACAGGACGGCAGCAGCAGCAGCAGCAGCAGCTTGTGAATGTGTGGTGAAGTTGTGAAGTAAACAGCGTCGTCGGTGCCAGAGAGCCGACTGTATCAGAGCCAGCGTAGTCACTGCACTCCTGTGCTTTCTGTCTCTGTTTCTGTGGCATCTGCTGTCAGACTGACGGCCGCCAGGAAGTCAGCTGTTGTTACACCAGTTTGTGTTGAAATGGGTTTTTGTTCTCTCTCTATTTGTTCACACTAACAGAGAGAGATTGTGGTCTTATTCTACCCAGACCTGGTCTTATTATACCCAGACACACACACACACACACACACACACACACACACACAGCACCCTGTAAGGAAACGACCGGCTTCCTCAAAGGTTGGCGAATGAGGCACTATCTTATTAAATATGTGCTCATTTTTATATATTTTCAGAACAGAAATGAGAACATTTAATAAAGCCATTCTCAGAAGTATTGTTTCATTTTGTTGACATATGAGAGTGAAAGTTTAGAGTCTTTGTATCACTCCATACATCTGACAATACTGTCAACAGACATCAGAAAACAGCATGTTTTTAGTACTAAATGTAGTATAAATGAGTCATGAGGAATGAACGAGTGAAGTTTGGTGAATGTAAGAGCTGCTGAAGTGGAGATTTATCATCAGAGTCTGAGAACAAACTCATTTAGAGGAAACGTCCTTTAAAGAGACGTTTAGTTCCATTACAGACATTTAGAGACTCTACAGGTGAACACATGAACTCATAGATATCACCATGAAACT